CACACACTCACACACTCAAACACTCACACCAAGGACGTAGGTACTGGTATAGAGGACAGGATGTATGAAACAGACACAACCGGGGAAGGAAAAAGGACATCCTCAGGCATTCTGCATTTCAACTACAGTAAGTGACATTTCTTTGGCAAAACAATCAGGGATGGATGTTTGTTTCCAGGATTTCAGCTGTTTTTCAGACTCCTGTTCTTTTCCAAAGGGACCCCACTGATGTCCTGCTTCTTTTTTTATTTTTTAAAAGCTTAGTGTTCCTGGTTACATCCCCAATGCTGCCATGATGGTGGCTTACGGCGCATCAAGCGGTTGTCAGTTTAGTGTTGTGCTGTCAGTGTGAGGGCGTGATTGGCCAACTGTAGTGTCACTCAAACGGCAGGTGACACAGGCAGGTGAGGACAGGGTTTTTGTTTTCCTCCAATGCCTGAGTTTGTACCTCGACACGCCTGCTATGACCCTGAATGACCAAACTTTAACTGATTCTTTCCTACTTCAGTCGAACATCGAAGTCGATGTAACTCTTTGGGGGGCATGGTGATATACCAAATCTGGCATGGAGGAAAAACAGTATGCTGTAGGACAGAGGAATAACGCACACCAGTCACATGTAACTGTGGTTTAAGCACAAGCTCATTTACAAATAATATTTTGGCCTTAAAGGAACAATTTGGGATTTCGTGAAATGCTCGTTTGCTTTCTCGCTGGAAAACAGCTAGTAACCTGTAAAATCACAAATTAGTTTTTACACTTTGGTTTTTATATGGTGAAAATACAACATATAACATGTTAGTTAGTGAGGTGGTGGTAGGTGGAGTTTGCTACCTTTGGACTGAGCCAGGCTAAATCTATTTATGCTAAGCTAAGCGAACCATGTCCTGGCTCCAGGTTAGCTCTTGACAAGAAAGTGAAGAATTTCCCAAAATGTTAAATTATTCATTTTCCAACTCAAGAATGACACGTAGGAATATCTTTTATAAATAAGTGTGAAATAAGACACTACACTGCTGTAGTGACCTGTCAAAGGCCATTTATACTAATTTCCACTAGTAAGGGGGTTTCAATATCTATATTTGTTTTTAAAACCAACATTTTAGTGGGGGATTGGATGGGGATACATTTTGAACGCAGTTCTGAACTCATTTCATTCATCGAGCCGATCAGATCATCACTTGCTTGTTCCACACATGTAACTGGTGGGCTCCACTGGAGGCGGGCAGGGATTAAAGAGGGGAGCTGATTGTACATCGCAAGCAAACTGGAGCACTTAGTTTACACACTTGATGAGAACCTTTTTAAGAGTTTTTTTTTTCATTACAAAAATAGTTTAAACCAAGTTTAAAAGAGTATGTGTTGTGGCTGATTGCTTGGAGCCGTAACCATGCTCGCGCTTTTCATTAGAGCAGAGGGACAGGGGTGAAGTTTGGAGCGACACTCCACATTTTAAGGCATAACGGGCACCAACTTTAACGGTATGTCTGATTGATTTTTCAGTCCTTGACGTGACACAGACTGCTGGCTGAGGTTCTGCAGAAAATGAGGAAATAAGAGCCTTAAAATCTCACACCGCTTTGAGCGCGTGTTAAGTAAAATAAGCCAAAAAACTGACTGGAGACTTGGGTTCCTGGATTAAGGTGGTAGTTTAGGCACTGTTTGAAATAACGTGAAAGGAGCAGGGAGACGGATGCTAGAGTATCGTAGCATGACTTGAAGCACCGTCTCGTTGAGTGTGGAACTCACAACCCAGCACCCTTTTGCTGGTAAATCAATTCAGTGAGAAAATAAATAGGATAAAAACACGAATCTTTGGGATATTAGAAGCAGATTAAGATGAGTACCACGTTTGTTTCAGTGAACAAAGAAGATGTTGACGGTGGAGAGCTATGTAGACTATATACATGAGCTTTACTATAAGCTGCAGTACAGACAACAAAAAGGCCTCGGCGCACATTCTAAGCATGCACATATACCATCCACACACACACACACACACACACACACACACACACACATACACATACATATACGCACACGCAAAGAGGTGTAGTGTCTGATTTCTCTTGTAGCTGGAGTTGAGCTGAGCGGGCCTGATATTGGAATATAAACAAAATGGCCACTCGTACATCAAAGGAGAGAAAAAATAGAACAAAGAAACAATTCAAGTTCTTTGACGCCGAGTCAGTGTACAAAGTATAAAGTACCTGCATATGTGATACATGACATATAGGTCAGCTATAAAAAAAAAAGGCCCCCTGAAAAAGAGTGCTCTCTCTCACTAGAAACAGAGCATGAAATGGCCACGTGGAGAGCTGAGAGAACTGTCTGCCGTAAGGGGGAGCTTATCTTCCCAGGCCGTTCAGAAAATGCACCAACTGTTTTTTTTTTGGCTTATTTCAGTGTCTGGAATTTGTAGAGAAACCCAGAGAAACCAAGGCAAGAGAGCGAGCAGCCATGACCACTTGTCCCCTCTGTGCATTTCCCCATCCTTCCCTTTCCCTGTGCTTGCGTTGGGTTTAGGTTTTTGTTGTTTCCTCCGAGAGGTTTTCCAAGCGTGGTTTCTCAACTCAGGGCCTTGTGTCGGCCTCCGCAGCAGCCACACCTGAGCCCCGCCCGGTGGCAAGCGTGGAGAGGCGGGTAGAGGCAGAGGCAGGGCGCCACCAGAGACAAGCCAAGCAGAGCTAACCAGCGCGAGCCGAGTCGGCCTCCCCCGCTGCCCTCGCCCCCGTCACACGAGCAGGGGTCTGAGTAGTCCCCCTCTGGGTCAGACATGCAGTGGTAGAGCATGGTGTCTGCCAGCCACATGCAGCTGACCCGCCGGATGCACGCCCGCACAGGGTCCGGCGCATCCTGGCACCGGCCTCTCCGGTTGTCGGAGATATAAAAGGCCTCGCCGCAGTGCTCGCACTGAGCGCGCTCCATCCCGTCCTCCTTCCGTCCCTTCCCACCATTGGTGGACGGGGAGCCTGGGACGAAGGAGCGGGGCTGTGAGGCGACCACAGAGGAGAAGGCTTGGCGATATGAGCCGCCATGGCCCTTATTGACCAAGGGTCCGAGGGCGGGGTCAGAGTCTGAGGGCGATAAGGCCGGTGCCAGCGGATAGGTGTAGTCGTGCTTCTGCGCCTCCGTCTTGTCAAAGTGGACGTAGGGCTCAGATTCCTCCATTTGGATGAACTTGTCACGCACAGTGGCGTGACGGTAGTCCTCGTAGCCCGTGAGCCAGTGGCGATCCGACTGGCGTCCATGGAGACGCTCGGTGGTTCTCTCCCAGCTGCGCTCCCGAGGGTTGATTCGGACGATTTCCTCGTCCTCCTGGAAGGTGACACGACGAGTAATCCGAGACAACGGCTGAAAAAACAAAAAAAAAAAAACAGAATGAAACTTAAAACGAGCTGTGTTTGGGCTCTAAGCTTTGATTTAAAAAATAAGATATAATATATAAATAATAATCTTTTGTTGTCTCCGTACAACAGTCTCAGAAAATATCCATCAGCACATTTTCAGTCATTTCGGAAAGAGCACCTGGTCCTCCACTCTCTTGCTATCGCTGTGTCTGTATGTGGACGTTCTTTTGTCTCACCTGGTCCAAGAAGTAGTGGTCTGAGAGCCGGTAGGGGTCGTGGAGGTCGTGGCGATGTCCCAGCATGCACTTGTGTCTCAGCGGAAGGGGTGAGGAGTCGAGCGGCTGCAGAGAGCTCTCCAGTTTCTGGGAGGAGTTGGATGAGCTGTCTGTGGTGTTCTGAAGGGACAAACAAACACAGGATGCGGTCTGAAAGCTGCACTCTGATTGGATACACCAAACAAATAGTTAGTGCGAGAGGACGTCATGATTGGACAAACAAAAACAGGAAGCCTCGGTGCAGCTCTGATTGGGAAAACAGGAAGTGTGAGCTCTGTTTTTCGAGCCACTTGATCCACATTTGGATCACCGTGTACGAGCCTAACTTTTATTAGCAACATCCACCATTAAACAACAGCATCCAAGAAAAACATTGTAGTAATCATCACACCTAAAATTAAAATTAGACTTAGTTTTAAAATTAAATTAGCCACTGACATAGGTAGAGGAAATATGTTGCCTATGGTCATCTCATTTATTTATTATATTATTAATACTTATTTCTTAATAAGGTTACTGTGGTGATACAAGAGTCAAGTGAGGTCGTCACTGATGCGTTTGCATATAAAGTAAGAACAGTGATGGACTTCTGACCCAGCCAGAAATAATATTTAGTCTAGCCCTCATTGATGGGGTGGACAAAATATTAGAAACACCTCATTATATCACAACAGAAGTCATCAGCTGCACAAACTACAGCCTCCACAATGATCACACAACACCTACCTAAAATAGTTTCAACAAAAACTGAACACTATATCCTTCACACAGGTAGGATTTATTTCAGGACTGATGTATTAGACTGCATTTGTTTTAGCTAGGTGTGCCTTCTACCTATGGAAACAGTGACAACTCAAAATAAGTGCATAATCTTGAAATTACTTATTTTGTCTGACAAACAGTCTAAAACCCCAAAATACTGAATTTGCAGTGACAAACAGCAAAAGAGAGAGAACTTCCCACATTATGAAGCTGAAATAACTTGATATTAGGATGCAAGCATCCTGGACACACTCTTCTTATCCTTTTTTGGCTTCTCCCCTTCATCTTCTCCCTCTCTCCCGCCTCCTAACATGTCTTCCTCCCCTATCTCACTTTCTACATATTCCACCTTCCCTTCTGTCTTTTACACCACCCTGTGCGTGTGTGCATGTGTGTGCATGTGTGTGTGTGTGTGTGTGTGTGTGTAAACAGTATCCTGTCCCCTTTCTGCTAAAGGCTGTCAGGGCTCCACTCCAACTCAAACCTTGGCCAGACACTAGACAGACAGGCCACTGCCGTGTAGTCAGACAGATTTCAGTCAGGCACACTGGGGGCCTGCCACTCTGGTGCAAAGCAAGAGGACTCCTGTCTCATCATGTCATCCCGCTTATGTGTGTGCAGGTGGACGAGATAGTCATAGTGTGTTTAACCCAAAGAAAAGGGTGCAGGTGTTTTTGTGTGAGGAGAGGAACTGGCTTTATCTTGTGGAAGGTTTGAAGTTGGTGCCGTTGGACTGTTTCTCTTTCAGCATCTAAGGATAGCCAGGGGTCAGCTGTCTTTAAGAATCATATGCAATTCCCTGCTCACAAGGTTTTTTCTTAATGCAAAAAAATGAAAAATCTCTATCTGCATTTGTTTAATCTTGCTTTGAGTTTCAAATGGCTAGTTACCAGAAGTCAGCAGAGCCATAGAAACTTGTATCAAAGGTCAACAAGCTTGTCCGCCAAAGAAAAGTTTGGCCATGGCTGAATTTTACATAATCATCTTCTGCCAGCAGCTCACAGCGGCTATGAGATTTCTGTGCTTCCCTTTTCCTGTGCTGATGTGATTTCATTCCAAAAAAACAAAAACAATTCCACCTGACAAGCAGAAAATACGCAGAAAAGACGCTTGATTCCAGCTATTCAAACGTTCCCAGTTCTCTTCAACGTTTACTGGAAAGACAAAAAGAAATAAATGTGGCTGTAGCCCAGCTGGTTGAGGAGGTTTGCTATGAATGGTAGGGTTAGCGGTTTCAAACTCCTGTTCTCCTGTTCATGTGTTGAAGTGTCCTTGAGCAAGACACTGAACCCCAGATCGCTCGCAATGTACAGTATGCGTATGATGAAACAAGACTCCACAGCCACTAGCATGGCTCCGTGAGGCTGTACTTAGGCACAGTGCTTTAAGGCCCTCACACTGTCTTGCAGGTAATTTGGTCATAAACTAAAGTATTGGACAAATTGAAAGTTTAACCTGTTGATGGCACTGGATGATGACATTTCATGGCAATTCATTGAATAGTTGTTGAGAAATTTTACCCAAAACCTCTATGGGAAAAGTCTTTATGATTCATTGTGTAGGTACACAATTTGGTATCAATCTATGTAGTAAATGTTGAGATATTTTACGGGATAAGATCGAGACCTGCAGGTGGTGCTATATGAAAAGTGGCCATCAAAGTCAGTAGGGTCAATCAACTGGAGACCATGCATATCTACACTAAATCCAGTAAGTTAAAGAAATTTCACTCTGGACCAAAGTGGTGGACCAGCCAACCGACCATGTCACTTTGGACAAAGAGCATCTTCCAAAATAAATGTAACCTAACAAAACAACCTGACAATGGGTCAGTGGGGGAGGCTCTGAGTTTTACATTTTCAAATGATTAGACATTTTTGTCACTTGTTGTCCAACCTACAGTAAACCAAAACAGAACTACATTCATCAGGTAACATTTCACTCCCAGAAACTTTTATCAAACTTTATGAAATTTCCCCCCCAGTGTGTCAAAATCTGGCACTCCATCAAGCTTAAAACCAATGGTTTGAATTATTTGCCAGAGTTATATGACCCAGATCTGGTGTGTGTCTGTCTGTCTGCTGAAGCCATCCCTATTATATCCTGCTCCCCACATGGATACCGCCATGCTGAGAATTTCCCCCAGCTTTCTTACAAAGCCCTCAAAGCAGCCGGCCAAAAATAACATAACATGCTGCCTCCGCTCCGGGCCCCGCCCCCCTGGAGAAGACATTACCGGGGGGAGGAGCTGATACGGTTTAAAACCAGTCCCACTCTGGCCTCCACGGCTGCAACTAATTCAAAAGACAGAACAGACTTTCTGCTGCAAGCTCAAAATGCACAAGAGGACAGAGAGAGACAGAGAGGAGTTGAGAGGGAGAGTTTGTATTTCTGGACATCCTCTCTCTGTATATTCTGGCCAAGGCTGGACAGAGGGCATTTCAAGTTATTTTCTGACACAAAACATGTCCCGACTCAAAGCTCGGGAGGATTCATCCTTCAACAAGCCCGTCTCGCTCTCCTGGGATGAGCCCAGAATTGCTTCAATAGCTTTCACTCCCCCTGTTGTGAATGAGCCAAAATAGAGACGGAGAGGAGACATGCTGAAGGGAGGGACAGAGGAAGGGTTGGGTTAAGTTTAGGTTTGGCGAACGAGAAATAATTTAGGGAAGTATGTCCATCCTAGCTCCCCCCCCCAATCCTCCTTCCCCGTCCCCCCCACGGGCTGTAAATCTGCCGCAGCATTTCCCCCTGTCCACGACTGCCCGCCTTGCAAACTCTGCCGCCACCGCTAACTTTAGGAAAGGTCATTAACACAGGCTAAGCAGGCAGTACTGAATCCATCAATGTATCCCATAGTTATTGACATGTGATTTTAGTGCATATTTGTTTTATAAAATTTTATAAGTCTGATTCTGATTTCAGATTCTGATTCTATCGTTATGAATCTGTTGCAAAACATGACATTTACAGAAGCCATTGACACATTTAAAAGACCGCTTCGGTATCGTCTCTAATAGCGACCCACAGTAAAGAAAGCTCGCTGATTGGCTATTTAATGATTGCGGATCATTTTTTGACTGCACTATTTTCCTTCTTCCACAAACAGAACACCTTGCACTGACTACACCAGTGCAGAGCTAAACTTCACAGTGCTAGCTTCAGCTTTAACAGACACACAATGAGACAGTTTAAACATAGACATAGGCTAGACTTTGTTTTGCCTTTGCACTGTGTTTTTTGGATTACAAATACAGGCTACAGGCTAGTATTTTCTCTCATGCAGGCAAATAACGTGCAAGTCTGCTGGCTGTTAGCTGTGGTCCTTGTGGTGTGTTCAAGTACACATGGCGAGGCAATGCAAAATATTTCTCAGCCTTTGTTAATGCCATTTCTTGGTGTGTTGGAGCCATTAGAGCTCATTCACCATAAAGGAGAGCCATCCTCCAAAAACAGAAACTTGGAGGCTATCTCAATATTTGTTTCATTATGAGCTTCTATGGTGTTTTAACTGTAATGGAAGTGAGCAGCTCAGTCTTATTTTGGGTGAATATGACAGCTTTTTAAGCAACAATACCAAGCAGTTGCACTGAAAGCTGCTACTTTCCTAAAAAACCCGAAGCTCCATTTCAGGGATTGCTCCACCCACTGACAGCACTGTAGCCTCCCTTCACCCCTCCTCATGTGTTTGTATGCGTCTCTGTGGTGGCTGTACACTCCCAGCAGAGCACCTATTAGTCTTGGCCCTTACAGACAGCTCAAGTCAAAGATGAACCACGAGGCACTTCCTCTCGTAAATCACCGGCCCTGCACTAAGCTGGGAAACAGCTGCTAGCTGCTAGTTTGGTGGCGACTCTCTTTTTCAACTGCGAGGGTGGG